TCTGCTGAATACTGAGTTGAAACTCAACTAAAATTGGTTTTAGTTGGAGCTTGATAGAACTAATTTCATGAAACTGGCGCTGGTGTCTTCTCTCTTTTTTTTCGGACCGTGGCCTTCTCTGAATAAGTCAAAGATCGTAGGGACTGCTGTTTACACTCTTCTTTTTGTTACTTTCATTGCTGCATCCCGGGGCCGTACAAAATACACCCATTTTAAGGTTTATTTGTGTCAAAGCGGCAGCAGGAGCAATGCCATAAACAGCGAGGCGGGAGCTGCGACCCCTCTAAGTACGTCATCATTTTTCTGGCCAATCAGAGGCGTTGATATTAAAAAGTTATTTTACTGATTTATTACTTATCTATAACACGAAAACACATTGCAAAGGTGGGAAATATATGTTTTGAATGTGTTTTATCAGAAAAAAAAAAGTTTTTATTAATTATAGCCCCCTTTTAAATTGGCTCTGTAGAGACTTGCCACAATCAGATTCAGTTTTGCCTCAAGTAAAAACACACATTTTAAAAGCCAAAGTGCATACATTAAGACTTAAGGAGCCTACACATCTGAGTATATAAGTGAGCAGAGATTTTGAGATACGTCAAAAAAAGTGATTATTTCACATATCTGAGGCAGCCGCAGGTCTGTCTCTGCTTCCAGAAATACATGTCTGCACTTGTCATTTATTACAGCAGCTCTATCCTCGCGTGTTTCAAAGGCTTCACACAGCTGGAAGTCAATGAGCTTTACTAGCACCCAAAATTCTTAAAAGCAACCAAAAGTTTCTTGCCTAAGTTCTGGTTTTACAGGACTGAGGCTGGTTCTACACAGTCTCAGTCCTGGATCTACAGCTTCTGTCCTGGGTCTACAGCCTCAGTCCAGGGTCTACAGTTTTTATTTCTAGATCTACAGCCTCAGTCCTGGGTCTACAGCCTCAGTCCTGGGTCTACAGCCTCAGTCCTGGGTCTACAGCCTCAGTCCTGGGTCTACAGCCTCAGTCCTGGATGTACAGCCTCAGTCCTGGGTCCACAGCCTCAGTCCTGGGTCTACAGCCTCAGTCCTGGATGTACAGCCTCAGTATTAACAGGCTACATGTCTAGACTCTGTATAGACTTGATGCCCTCGCTGACCTCTTGTGGCCAAATATGGTATCTCAAGTCATCCAAATAGCTGCTCATATAAAAATAGGATCACAAAAATGTCAAAGCATGAACCAATTTTGTCTATTTTTACGCATCAGTGGCTTTCGAGTCCAGTCTGGTCTGTGTGGTGTGGTATTTTTAGTCAGAGAACAACAAAAGACCATTGAAATCCAAACGATGTGATGAAAAACAGACTGTTCTAATGACCTGATTCAGTCAAAAAAGATAAATATAGTTTGTTAAAATGTGTTGTTTTAAGATGAGAAGTTGATCTTTCCTTTGGAGCAGACCAGTTCAACCTCTAAAGATAAGCAGGGTAGGGCCTGGTTAGTGCCATGATTGGAGACCTCTGGGAACACCACAGTGGCTGTAAAGTGTGAAGCTGTCGGTGTGTCCTTAGGCAAGACACTTCACCCACAGTGCCTAGAATGAGTCTGGTGAGTGTGTGAATGGTTGGTGGTGGTGATACTGGGTGTGCGGCTGAGTGGTTAGCGCTGTGGCTTCTCAGCAAGAAGGACCTGGGTTTAAATCCCGGTTGGAACAGGGCCTTTCTGAGTGGAGTTTGCATGTTCTCCCCATGGCTGATTCCCTCCGGTTTCCCCTACCACTTTTAATCATGTACAAAAGGTAAAATCCTCCAGCTCAGGTCCCGACAAAGGCCCTGGCAGCAATGGTCAAATGCAGGGGACATATTTTACGTGGACGATGAAGTATAACAGGTGTACAACCTGGTACAATGCATCTCTCCTTTTGGCTAATGTTTATTGTACACTGTCCCTGTAAAAATAAAAAAAAACATACCATAATTGAACTTGTACTGGTTGCAGTCAGTCTCAGGGCAGCTGTGGCTACATTATTATCTTGCCACCCCAGAGTACGGAGTGAATGAATAAATGCCATGTGAAGAGTCTTTACCTCTCAAGGAGCCAGAGCAAGTTGGAGCCAAACTTCATCCATGAGCACTTCCCTATGGAGCTTCATTGAGATTGGGGGGGTTTGCATTGTCCATCTATATACAGTCGATGGTCATCATTCATAATCTGTGAAAAATGGCCCACAAACTGAAGACTTTTGCCTGTAAAATCCCCACAGAGCTGTATGTATAAAACTAGACGCTAAATAACCACAGATGCCTCAGTTTTTAAAATGTGAAAAAAAAGGGTTAAACTTTATTTGTATGGCACTAGAATAGATCTGGCTTTTCAAAAACTTCTTGGTAAAGGGCAAAATGCAAACCTTTCAAATATGTATTTTCTAATGACACTTCTATCTATTTTTGCTAATTAATGTCTCCTATACATACACTGCTTTGTCGGCAGAACATATAAATTTGAGTTTCACAAGTAGACCCTAAATATACTGTAGATTCTCCACTTTAATATTCTCCACTATGGAACAAAAACAGGTTCTATTTTCCGGTTTCTTTCGTTCATTTTCTATATTTGTAAAATATGCCCAAAAATGGACCTGTTTTTGATATAGGAGTCAGAGTGGGTACATAGCGCATGTTTATCTGACCTCACTACACTGCAAAAGATGATTTAAAAAAAGTCAGAGATTGCTCAAATTTGGCTTAATGTATCATTCTGACTGCCTTTAACAAGATTTGCCAAAGGGACAAAGCAAAAATTATCTGGTTTTTAAAAAATACAAACAAATGTCTCCCTTGGAAAGAGAAAATAACGCAACATTTCTTGACATAAGACTAAATGGCTTTGTCCCATTGGAGAATCTTGTTTTAACACAGTCAGAATGAACTCAAATTAAGATAAAAACCACTCGATTCCAACAATTATTACCTCATATTTTGCTAGAACCAGGGACTGGGGTTGAAATTTAGCAAAAGTTGTTCCGTGTTGACTTGTGATGTCCCTGTCAAATACATGAATAAATGAAACAAACAGAAAATCCACACGTTTTAAAACCACAAATGCAAAGTTATTTCTGGAGCATAATCCACAGACGAGTTTAAAAAGAAGGGTCTGAGTCGGGCGTGGTCACATGTACAGTTTTATTGGTCTGCCATGGACACACTGCGGCTGCTAACCTTTTTAGTAGTCATTCATTGATAAACTTGTACATGCCCCGCGTAGGTTTGTGCACTGGTATAATTATATATCGGAACAAGATGCTGATTATTAAACCAATTAGAACCTCTTTTTATCTGCATCCGGAAACATCCAACGGTTGTTTTGGTTCCTTTTTGGCCAAAGTCTGAAACTCGGAGAGATTCGCACCAAACATACTTTTCTTTCGGTTGGTTTTTCTACAGTGATAAAAACAAGACTTACACCTGGAAATAACATTCAAGCACACGCGCAAACTTTGTCACGTGGACAGCGGAAATAAATACATAAATAATAAACGTGTAGAAGGAGAGAGGGTTTGAAGCACAGAGACTGAGACCGGCGCAGATTAACTGTCCGACCATTGTACCTCAGGATTATTGGGAGATTATTACGATGACTTTAGCTTTTTAAAACCTGAAAATAGTTCTGATTCCAAACCTCAATAGTAGAATTTCTGCTTAATATTGTACACATAGAGAAGAGCATAATCTGACTCATTAGTAAGAGTCTTACTAATGAGATTTTGTTTTGTCTTTAGCAGCTTGTAAATGTAAGGATAGCTCACGATTTAACCCTCAACTCTCTGTTTTTCACTGTGAGCCTACCAGAGATTTCTCACTTTTTTCCCACTGGCTTTCTGATTTGTTCCTTGCAGATTACTAGCAGATTTGATATTTTATTTTTGCTGCTACTGGACACCTGAATTTCTCCGACGGGGATCAATAAAATGTCTGTCTATCTGTCTATCTATGTAGGAGGGTCTAAGGACAGTGGTGATGATCCAGGACCTTTATGGACATTGGTCATCTTCCTCTTATGGATCAATGACTCTCTGTGTTTTTTTTAATCATTGCCTTTCCTTTGATTCTCTGATCTGTGTTGGCGAATCGACAGCTTTGTAATGTCCTCCAAGATAACGGCTGTTTTGATTCAGGGCTTTGCAAAAATACATTGAATTGAGCTGATCGGCTGAGTGAAGGCGGTTGTCCAATTTTTCACTTTTCTGTCTGAAAAAGCCAATTTCTAAAGATATGACTGAGGCCACAGATATATGCATGTGGAAACTAGATAGAAGATAGTGATAGAAGTAAACTTAGGAATTAGCTTTACAATAAACTAGATTCTAATATAAGTTACACACCCCAGCTTTAAAATGTGCCTATAGAATGTATGATGTTTGCCTACCAACATTTGAAACCTAGACATGATTGAAGGTACACAGCCCGAACTGTCTGCAATTGAGATTCAGAATAGAACCGATCTTTTTCAGACTTAAAAACTTCAATTTGAGATAGTTCCCGAATATAAACAACAACAATGGTGGACAGACATCAGGTTTTCACTTCGACCCAAACTCCACCGGCTGCATCCGGAAAAGGCTTTTTTTGAGATGAACGTGGAGGTCGAGTGCAAAAAAAACCCTGAATCTCAGCAACACACAACATTCAATACTTTATCACACTCACACACACACACACACTCACACACACACGGCACGAGGACAGATGCATTATGGGAAGACCGCAGAAGTTGTGATCGTAGTGCGCTAACAGTACAGCAGCAGCAGCAGCAGCTCTATGGGGCAAACGTAGTAAATGCTTCTTTCCCGCTTTTTTGTGGTTTTTTGTTCTTCGCTCTATGTACAAATCTTTACAAGAGTTTTTTTGTTGTTGCCAGAAGAGGCCCACGAGAGAGGGCAAAGTCAGGCAAAAGCATCCACAAAACACAGCGAACTATCTTTGGTCACAAATCGGGCAATCCTTTTTCTCCGCGACACACCCCCCGGTTTTCCTCACTCCGAGCTGAATTCGTCCTCGCGCTCGGACTGGCTCTCCGGCTTGGGTCCAGGTCCAGGTCCGGGTCCTGGGTCCTGGTCGGTGCAGTATTGCTGGAGCAGTCTGTGGAGGTGCTGCTGCAGGAGGTCCGGGTGCAGGGCCTGGGGGGTGTCGTCCTCTCGCACCAGGTGGATCTGTTTGCCGCGGCCGTCTCTCACCACGGTCCTCTTCTGGGTGCGCGCTTTACGCATTTGGCTTCTGGAAGAGAGAAAAATTAGATTACGTTTGGTTTGAAGAGATGTCAAGGCTTTTAGTGGGATTAGTCCGAGCACACGCTGTAAAGCTGGGCAAAAGCGGTGTGGTTTTTGGGCTGTTTTTGCCGCACATTTCAGTTTCACAATGCTTAAAAATCATACAAACAACTTGTATTTTCTGTGCGTTTTAATTTAGCTTAATTACATTATCGTCTTGTTTTCATTAGTTACAGTGAATAGTTATTATGTATTTTCATGTTACATACAGACATAGTAAGACTTTTTCCTTTTTTAATCCTTTTCCTGCCACTAATGTTCCCTTGTGATTGAAAATATAGTAAATAAAAAGCAAATTATGGATAATAGTAGTAATAAAGTATAAAAAAAATTGTAAAAACAAAACTAAAATATTTAATTGTTTTTCTATGTACTGTGAGTGATTTTGTGATTATTTATTTTGGTTTTGTGTTCGGACTTGCCCTTGGACCTCTAAAAGCGCAACAAAAAGTGCAAAGATGCAAAGAAAACCAGTAGTTAGTTGATCCCTAAGTACAGCAGGGAAAGCACTCTCCATATTTATAGATTTTCTAAGCACTTGTACATGCTATTTACAAATAAACCTGTCCTTGGACGTCTAAAAGTGCAAAGAAAACCCGTATTCTCCAGCAGTGAGTGGAGTTTGTTAGCACTGGGACATGCTCTGAGCTGTTAGTCACTCTGAGGCAGACCTTCTGACCACTGATCCGTCCTCTTGAACCACCTCCCTCTCTATAACATGAGGGATCTGCACTTTCCCAAAGCCCCCCGCATAGACCAACGCCTGGGGGCAGATCAGGGACATGTCAAAAAGACTAAGATTCAAAAGTAAATGAATGTAAACAGTTCATTTTGTCTTCCTATGTTTGATGCTTAGAAGGTGTGCAAGGACCATCAACAGAGACGAGGGGGCCTTCACCTTGGCTCACACTTGAATTAATTATTGTGGCCACGGGATGATATTTGATTAGCACTAGAACCGGCCGCACTGAGACATAAGAAAACATTGGATTTAATCATTAAATAAAATTCGCTTCACTGTATTAGGGCTTACTGGGCTCAATTATAATCAATAATGTGAATATGTTTTAATAAACTTTTACCAGTCAGAGCCTCGTCTTGTTGCTAATAAGGTTTTTTGGCCTCTGATGTATTTGACTTTGACATTCCTGCCCTAGGGCTTGAGTCTGGCCCAAACATGTCAGGTCCCAGTGTCACGGTTTAGGTTTTTCCCGTTAGTCGTTAGTGTATTTAAACCCTGTGTCGTCCTTCACTCCTTGTTTCGTCATTGTCAGTCCTTCTCTGTCTTGGTTCATGTCTTCAGTCCCTCTTTGGTTACTCTTTGTGTTGACTCTAGATTTTCATTTGTATTTCATTTAATTAAATCCATTCATTTTGCAGTTTTACAGTGACAAACAGCTTTTGTCTAATTAAAAATAACCTTCAAAGCATACAGATTCAAAAGACTGAACCACAAATGACTGGAGAGAATGAGAAAGCCTGTAGTTTTATTAGATTTTAGTGTGTGACTGACCTTCTCAAAGTCTTCTCTGGCCGAGGGCAGGTCTGCGGCCAGTGAGGACTCTCCGCTCTTCTTCTCCAGACGCTCCCCTCGCACCACCGTCGTCTTCACCACTTTACTGACCTTTCGACCCTGAACCTTCTCCACCTCGAACTCCGACGCTGAGGCTGCGGCGGGAGCGAGAGGCTCAGAGAAGCTCAGCTAGAGACACAAGGAACCACTGTTAGAACTGAGACACCTACAAAGAATCTCTGACTCCACAGCGGGGAAATGTCAGTGTTGCATCACCGGTTACAGAACAATAGAAATGAGAAGCACACAGCAGAAGACACATGAACAATAATCTCTAACTTTAGCATAATAAAGAAACTAGTTTTCACATGAATGTATTTTTGTATCTTTGGATCAGCTTTTTCCATCAGAAAGGTGAAAAAGAGCACTGTCACTTTTTTGAATATTGTTACCGCTTCCAGACTCGTTTTACAGACTATAAATTGACCAAAGTTGATATGTTTTGACAAAGATGTGAAACTTTGCGACTTTTTTTGTTTTATGTGGATTGGCCCAGGGATTGGAGAAACTAGCTTTAAACTAGGCGTTGGGTTTATGTGTGTATGAATATTTATGTTAAGGATGTGTGTTTTCTCTTTGAAGAAAATGTATTTTTGTCTGTGAGTCTGTTGGAAAACATTTGACTGACAGCCATAAAAAAAATATATAGTTATTCGTTTAATCATCAATTAAAATATGGTCCACTGTGTTAGGTCTTGGTTCAATTATTTGCATCATTTTAATATGTTTTAAAAACCAGTCCGGCGTCTTGTAGAGCCGAAAATATTGGAGAAACTAGCTCTAAACTAGGCGTTGGGTGTATGTGTGTATGTACATGTTTATTGGGAAGGGTGAACCCATGGGAGGGAGGGGAAAAAAACTTTAGCTTCTTTTCATGCAGCAATAAAATACAAATTTGAAAAACAATAATGAACTATCTTGACCATCTTTTGACAGTTACCAATGTCACCAGGAAAGATTATTCACTTACCCTCGCCCATAATTTTAAACTATAAGCTATTTAGGCTGATATTGGATGCGTTCATGTGACATCACAACATGAATAGTGACTCGGAAGGTTATACAAGTTTTCTACTAAGATTAATTCAATATGTTGCATCCATAACAGCTCACAAACTTAGACTATGAGACTCTTTATGTTGGGACAAACAACATTTATTGACCTCTTTCTGTTCCCCTTCGCTGTGCAGGACTGTCCTCTTAACCACTCTGGAAACCGTGTCTCCTTCCTCTATCCGCACCATGTCCTGCTTCGACCCCTCGATCGTCACTTCCTGAGTCTCCAATCCGTCTGGAGACACGTACTTTCGAACCACCTTCCGCGTAATCTGATGGGACGGAAAGCAGCCGTAAGAGAAGTGTGTTGTGCGGTTTTCAGCCTCTCCAGTTTATAAACAGTATGTGCACTGTGGCTCCACGGCCTCGCAAAGTACATCAGTGACATGTTAGTGCCATATGAACCAACTGGGACTCTGAGGAGCACAGGGACTGGCCTCCTGCTGGGACTCTGAGGAGCACAGGGACTGGCCTCCTGCTGGTGCCCAGAGTCAGGACTAAACATGGGGAAGCAACGTGAGACTTTGGAAGTTTTCAAATCCAGGTTTAAAAACAGTTCTGTTCGGCTGTGCATACAACTTAAGGATTTTATCTTTACTCTTTCTAATGCACTGTGGCTTTTTATGGTTTTAACAGTCGTTTGTGTTTTTAATGTTTTAAGGTTTTTAATTACTTGTGTGATTTTATTCTCTGTTTTTAATTACTTGTGTGATTTTATTCTCTGTTTTTAATATTTCTTGTGATCTTAATGTTTGTTTTAATTGTATTCTATTAATGTAAGTAGATTTCAACGTTTATGATTTAGGCTTGATGTGAAATGGGTTGTGTTGCCGTGTGAAGGAAAGGCGCTCTACAAATATTAGATGATTGATTGATTGTTATACGTAGGTTTATGTGTTCTACCTTCTTGACCACCAAGTTCCCGTGCTCGTCTGTGTACTTCTCCTCAGTCACCGTCTGCTGTGGGATGTCTGGTAACGTGTCCGCCTGCAAAACAAACAGAGAAGAATATTAGTTCAAAAGTATACTGTATCTTTATTTTCTCAGCTCAGGTTCAAACACAACTCAACAGTCTGTCCTCCCATTGGCTGCAAGAATGTGCCACAGCAACCATAGGTACCAACCATAAATGTACACATACACAAATACAAAAAAAAAAACTGCATCAAAAGTGCCCTCTTTAAATATGTGACCCATGTAGCACACAAGAATAAAGAATCAATGCAAGAAAGATAATCAGAATATCACCAAAAAAGACAGGATAAAATTCTTAGACAAAACAAAGGATTTTTCACATTGATTGTTCCGTTTGTTTTTGCTTCGTGCTATTTATTATGCTTATATTTCTGTTGTCTGTCTTGATTTTTATTGCCTTTAAATGAAATATGATAAAATAATGAATGCAAGCCCAACACAAGAATCACCACGATTCAAAAGAAAATAAAATAAATACAAAAATAAATCCACACCACTGTTTAAAGACTGGACAGCCGGATCCTGTCTGTTTACCTGAATGATTACTCTTCGTCGGACCACTCTGGTGGTCAGAATCTCTTCTTCTGAACTATCAGACAGAGCCCCTAGCTCCTCTGCTATCTCCTGGAGACAATGTCAGTCACATGTCAATAACTTTCTACAGCACCGTGCAAACCGCCGTCTCTTCACCTCACGCACATAGAAGAGTCAATGTGGGAAAAATGAATGACAATTGTAAAAATGAACTGCAGTGAGATGAAGAGAAGGGAGGAGATATTTGGGCACATGCTTTGTGGATCAGCAAGCCATGGTATTATCATACCATGGCTTGCTGTAAATGTTTTTATGTTATGCCCTTGGGAAGGATTCAAACCAAATGGCAGAGCACTTAGCTGGGGATTAAATGCAGCAAAACATTTGACTTTTTAATGTGAGTCATGCATCACTTCACTAAACACTCTCCTTTCACAAGATCAGTAAAATGACTAAGCTTAGAACGTCATTGTCCACAGCCAGAGCTTAAAACTCGCAGATTTCCAGTGCTGGTCATTTGTTTATACCACAATCACATCACTTTGTTTTTCTTCCTAAACTGAATGTCAGAATTCACTGGTTAAACTGTGAAACTGTAAAACCTCGTAGTGGAAACACATTCACATTTCACAGTCTAACTCTGACATGCACAAACAAGCTGTTGTTAGCCACACCTTTGAGTATATCATAATAAATCTAGACTCAAAACTTCAGCCCGAAGCGACAAACTGGTGCAGTGTGCTCATGCTCAGACCTTACCCTTCCAAGGTCATCGTCATCGTCATAATACCCTGCCTGGCCTCTAGGGGGCAGCTCCTCACACCTGGGTCGGCCAGTGTGCGATCCGCCTGAATCATATGCAAATTCACCCAGACTCTCACTACCAGAGGAAAAACGCTTGTAGTTTTCCGGATGTAGACTTTCACTACCAGAGGAAAAGCGTTTGTAGCTTTCTGGATGTAGGGAGTGATGTGTGTCCAGATAGCTCCCAGGCATCGGAGACGGCGGTTCAGAAATGTGATAGGCAACTTCTTGTTCTGCTTTAGTCTCCTCAGGCTCAGGCTCAGACAAGTCAGACAAGGCTTGTTTACAATCAAAGAACTCAGAGTCTGAATCCGACATTTGGGAAGAAGCCTTCTGTGGTTTCCTTTTCGGTGATTCAAATTCATACACCGTCTTGTCAAACTCTGCAAGAACTCGGTTAAAGTCGGGAGAAAATTCGAACTGCTCAGTAGCTTTTGCATTAACTGCGCTACTCGTGGATTGATTGGATTGAGGTTGACCACTTAACGAAGATTCAGACACCTTCAGACTTTGCTGCCCTGAAAAAACAGCCTCGTAATCCAAAGGTGCCAGGAAGTGGCTGGACATGGGCGAGAAGAGTTCAGAGGACATGGAAGTCGTAGGCAGCACCGGTGTGACGGTCCGATGGGTGAAGTATGTCGTCTGTTCTGGAAGCTGCAATGGAATTGGGGTGCTTTTCTTTTGAGGTAACGGAGAATCCCTGCCACCAACTTGTGGTGCTTTTGTGGACAAACCCTGCATCTCCTCTGGTTCTTTTGAATCCTGGAGATGAATAGATGGTAGGTGAGGAGGGAATTTATTTTACAAGAAGTGCAGATTCACTGCATTCAACACTCAAAATGCTTGTTGTCAGCTAGGATTTTTTGGAGAATACACATGCAGCTAATATGATCTCTATGGTGCGACATGCAAAATTTGATGTTTGAATAGGTGATTGAAATAAAAATGAAAGAGCAAGTGAAATTATTAATTGACAAACACTTTAAAAACTACAGAAGTATACTACACAATATATATATCCTGCAAGAGGTGCTTTATGTTGGTTACTGTTTTAAACTCATTGCTGTAAAAGACGGCTGCATGTTAGTTTGTAGAACAACGGACAACACCAAGTCCATCAAGCACATTCGTTGTTAAATGTTATGTTCAAGAATATCTCCACGCTCGTGCTTTCTCTCTTACCCGTTGAGAGTTGTCGTCTACCGTTATGTCTGGCACTTGGTTGGAAGACTCCACATCTGATTCACTTGGATGTATCCTGCACTCCGATTGAGAGCTTGTCACTTCTGTTTTTGCATGAACACATTCCTGTAGAACTGGGGTTTCTTTCTCAAAAACATTTACAAAGTGTAGACCTTCTGTTAAATCCAACTCCTCATCAGAGTAAAAAGAATCAGGACTCATTGGCCTTGGACTGTCGTCGAACCAAAATTCAACAGGTAAAGCTACAAACTCTGAGTCTGAAGTTGCAGATATAGGTGACGTTGATCTGAGTAACGGACTACCCTCCATGAAATATGACGACAGGATTCTCATGAACTCCGGCACAGGTGAGTCGGTCATAAGCCGGCTGCGCGACTCTGGCGAAGAATGTCTCTCACAATCAGTCCCACCTGAAGTTGCATTAAGTTCAAGGTCTGAGTATGAAGCCTCAGACTCTGAAGACGATGACCCAAGAGAATTGGTAAAAGGTAAATACTCATCCACAACCTCCACAGTGAATTGAGGAATTGGCGAGTCTGGAGATAGACGCTTATATTTGCTTATTTCTGGCAACGAATCCGGAGAAGACATTCTATTGTTGTCCATGGGCATTGTAGAGTCAAGGGTCATTGTAAAATCTTCTGTCAATGACTCGGGAGATAAAGCCCGATATTTTTCATCTATAGTCTCTGAATTAGTGGACTCTGGGGATGAAGCTCTGCACTCTACAAGGTAAGGCTCAATGTCTGGAAGCATATAATCTACATCAGATCCTATGGGTTCTGGTGAAACAGATTCTGTCCTCAAATATATCTCACACTGTGGAAGAGCTGTTGAAAATTCTGGCACTGGGGAATCTGGAGAAAGGCGTCTCAGCTCATTCATAGATGTCACTGAGTCTGGAGATGAACCTCTTTCTAAAATGACATCAGAGCATTCTGGAAACAATAAGTCAGGGTCAAACATATCTATGCTATTGTGATCTAATTCCTCATCTGAGTAAACAGATATTGGAGTAGTTGTTCTTAACCTGTGATGTGTCCAGTAATGAATGGGGAAAGAAACAAACTCTGATTCTGAGGAGAAAGCCACTGGAGAAGATGATCTTGCTGAAGCGCCCCTTTCTCGAAAACAGGACGACAGTATTCCCATAAATTCGGGCACGGGTGAATCTGTCATGAGGTGTCTGTACACACTTATAGAATCTGAAGACTCTGGGGAGGATGGTCTATCGCAGTCATCCATTTCTGAAAGGCCTGTTTCTTCAAGGTCTGAGTAAGAAGCCTCTGATACAGGGGATAATGATCTAAAGTAAAGAGTGTATTGTTCTAGTGAGTCTACGTTAAATTGTAGGATAGGGGAATCTGGAGTCAGTGGTCTGTACTCGCTATGTTCAGGTAGCGATTCAGGGGAGGATGCTCTGTCTGCCATGTGCATTGCTGAATCTAAGGACATTGGTGTGAATTCTGACACAGAATCTAGTGACAATGGTCGGTCAAAATCTCCGTCCTCTGATTGTAAGGAATCTGGAGATGAGCCTCTACATTCTTCCAAAGACTCATTGTCTGACAGCATGTACTCAACATCAGAGCTTAGGGGTTCAGATGAAACAGATCCTGCCCTTAAGATAGTCTTACACTCATAAATATGTGTTTTATAATCAGGAAGAGGAGAATCAGGACTCATTATGTCGGATAAAATGGATTCAGGAGAAGATGCTCTCTCATAACTGCCTTTTCCTGTAGTAACTGTGAGTTCATAGTCTGAGTGAGAAGCCTCTGACTCAGGTGAACAGGACCTACATAGAGGGAGATACTCTTTCACTGAGGTCACTGTGAACTGGGGAATAGGAGAATCTGGAGACAGGTGTCTAAACTCTCTGATTTCGGGCAAAGAATCTGGAGAAGAGGCCCTTTGGTCAAGCATGTGCATTGCTGAATCTAAAGACATTGGTGTGAACTCTGACTCAGAGTCTGGTGACAATGGTTGGTCAAAATCTCCGTTTGATTGTAAGGAATCTGGAGATGAGCCTCTACATTCTTCTAAAGACTCATTGTCTGACAGCATGTACTCAACATCAGAGCTTAGAGGTTCAGATGAAACAGATACTGACCTTAAGATAGTCCTATAATCATGAATAGCAGTTTTATATTCCGGAAGAGGGGAATCTGGACTCAATCTGTCATATGAAATTGATTCAGGAGAAGATGCTCTCTCATAACTACCTCTTCCTGAAGTAACTGAGAGTTCATAGTCTGAGTGAGAAGCCCCGGACTCAGGAGAAGAAGATCTACAGAGAGGGATATACTCTTCCAGTGTGGTCACTGTAAATTGGGGAATAGGAGAGTCAGGAGACAGGCATCTCAACTCTGTGATTTCGGGCAGAGAATCTGGAGAAGAGGTCCTTTGGTCAAGCATAAGCAGTTCTGAATCTAAAGACATTGGTGTGAATTCCGAAACAGAGTCTGGTGATAATGGTCGGTCAAAATCTCCATCCTCTGATAGTAGGGACTCTGGAGATGAGCCTCTACATTCTTCCAAAGACTCATTGTCTGAAAGCATGTACTCAACATCAGACTCTCTAGATCCAGAGGAAACTGATACTTGTCTCAAAACAGTCTCACATTGTGGGTGAACAGTTCTAAAATCAGGCACAGGAGAATCAGGAGATAAGGTTGTGAACCCTCTGTCAGAGGAAATGGAGTCAGGGGAGGAGATTCTCTTTCCTGAGGTGACGGTTATTTCATAGTCAGAGTATGATGTCTCAGATTCAGGAGAAGATGTTCTAAAGTATAGTGAATTTTGTTCTAATGTGTTTACTGTAAACTGGGGGATGGGGGAGTCTGGAGACAAGCGTTTGTGTACAGTGTGTTCAGGCAGAGAGTCTGGAGAAGATGTTCTGTCAGCCATCTGCATATCTAAATCTGGTGACATGGGTATGTATTCTGAGATCGACTCAGGTGAAAGTGGTCGCTCTTTTTCATATAGATTAAATTTCATGGAATCTGGGGATGACTCTCTTTGTTCTAACATCCAAGTCTCCTCGTCTAAAAGCATACAATCCACATCAGATCCTATGGGTTCTGGTGAAACAGATTCCGACCTCAAAATGGTCTCACACTGTGGTAGATATGTTCCAAAGGTTGGTACAGGGGAATCTGGGGACAGGGCTCTCAGTTCATTTATGGATTGGATTGATTCTGGCGATGATGCCCGCTCCATTAAAAATACTTCTGCATGGTCAGCTACAGATTCAGGGGAGTAGCAAAAATCATTACTAGCTTCATAACCTTCATCTTTGCTCTCATCAGGACTCAAATACATGGCAGTATCTTCTAAAATACATTTTGTTTGTCTATGTGGATCACCAGGTATGTCCTCTTGTTTAGTTTTTGCAGTTGGACATGTCGGTGCTTGATCCAGAACATGCATAAAGTCGGTTGTTTCGTTGGTAGTAAAAACCTGTGAAGGTGAAGGCTGATCTTTGCATAAATACTCAATACTGGAACCAATAAATTTCATGCAACCTGTTTTACTTTGAAAGGTCTCTCCTCTGTATTGGGGATCATGTATTTGAGAAATAAGTTTCCAAAGCTCAGCATCATATGTTAAGTTATACTCTGCTACTTCGACAGCCTCAACAATGTCTTTCTTTGTGCGAGAAATTGTTTCCGTCTTCTGTTCTGATGCTTTTGGCAGTGTTACATTATGGAGAGCTGTTGTTTCATTTAGACAAACAGGCGATTCAGAAAGCACTATATTTTTTTCTTCAAATGAGAACTGAGATTTGGGACATTCTTCTGATCTTATTGGCTCACGGAAAAATAGTTGTCCCACTATTTCTTGTTCCTGTTCCTCTACAGAATCAGGTGAATTTAGTCGATCATCAGCAACATAGACTATGAGATCTTCAATATAATAATCACCATCTGATGACATAGATTCAGCGGAAGAAGATCTATAGCTAGCATTGATGATGACACGTTCAGGGGCTTTGGGTGTAAAATCAGGGATAGGTGAATCTGGAGACAGATTTCTAAATTCATTGTCAGAGGCGCCTGATGAAGGTGAAGATGGTCTATCGTCATATATGTGTGTACCAGGGCTTACAGCTATGTATTCTGCCTCTGACAAGTCGGATGAAGATGGAGATGGAGATTCCGATCTATTTGTAAATATTGTGTTGGGCAAATGACACTCATATTGACAGAACTGTGGTATCGGAGAATCATTGCTAAGCCTACTTGATGCTTGGGATTCAGGAGACAGTGCTCGGTTTTCCAAGTCTGTTTGCCATTGGGAATGTGTGTCATCATACCAATCTGATAAGACAGACTCAGGGGAACTGGATCTTAAATGGACTGAGGGAAACTCATTGAACCTATCTGCAAATTGAGGAATAGGTGAGTCTGGTTGTTGGCAATAGTCTTCAGACAAAGAAGAAACTGGAGATGGTTCCCTGTCTTCTAGAATCCAATGAGTTCCCAAAGGAGAATCAATGTCTTCTTCTGAGTCTGTCCAATCATTGGACATTGATT